TATTTTCATTGCAGCACTATTTACAATAGTCAAGGTACAGAAGCAACCCAAATGCCCATAAATAGATGATTGGATAAAAGAAGTGGCACATATTGGAATATTACACAATAATGGCATATTACTCGACCATAAAAAAGAATGAAATCTTACCATTTGCAACATGGATGGGCCTGGGGGTATTATACTAAGTGAAATAAGTCAGACTGAGAAAGACAAATATTGTATGATCTCAATTATAGGTGAAATCTGAATTAAAAAATTAATGAACAATCAGAACAGAAACAGACTCATAGATGCAGAGAACAAACTGATGGTTGCCAGTGGGGAGCCGGGTGAAAAAGGTGAAAGGATTAAGAAATACAAATTGGTAGTTACAACATAGTCACAGGGATGTAAAGTACAGCATAGAAATATAGTCAATAATGTTGCAACAACTATGTATAGTGCCAGGTGGGTACTATAGATAGATTAATTGGGGAGATCACTACATCAATTATATAAATGTCTAACCACTATGCTGTACACCTAAAACTAATATAAAATAATATTGATGTCAACTGTAACTAAAAAAATAAATTAAAAAAAACAGATTCAGCATGTGCAAGAGAAGGAGGGTTAAGAGACATGTTGAAGATAAACAGTGAATGCCTATTTAAAACCTTTAAAATTATAGAAATGATGTACATTCATAAGATAGAATGAGGGGGATACAAATAAGCACAAACTCCTTACACACTGCTGTTAACATTCTAGATATATCCATAGGTAATTAAAGCATGAAATTTTATTTCATTAAAAAAAATCTGTATTAGTTTTCTAGGGCTGCCATAACAAATACAAAAAACTGGGTGACTTAAACAATAGAAATTTATTTTTCATTGTTTTGGTGCCTAGAAGTCCAAGATGTTGGCAGGTTTTATTTCTTTTAAAGCCTCTCTCCTTGGCCTGCAGATGACTGCCTTCTCACTGCCTTCCATTTGTGTGTGAGCATGGCTGTGTCCTAATCTCTTTTTCTAAGGGCACCAGTTATATTTGACATATATGATGTCATTTTACCTTAATTACCTCTTTAAAGCCCTATCTTCATTCTGAGATACTGGGGGTTAGCACTTTAACATATGAATTTGAGGAAGATGGGCAATTCAGCCCATAATTGTATCAAATCATACCTATTTATTTTCCACTTAGCACCGTAACAGAAATGCCTTTTCATGTCAATATAATATAGTGCCAAAAAATGTATACACATTTTAAGAAAGGAAAAAACTATATTAAAATTGTAATACTTAATATATACCAATAAAAAAAAGATTAATACAAGTCACATTTGACTTCTGCAAATATAAGAGGTGCTCAAAGTAGTTATCAGCTACCAGACATTTCTGATTGTCTGATTATGGTGAACTACTGCTTGAACTTGACCAAAGTGTTAACATCCCTTAAAATGTGTACACATTTTTTGGCACCCCTGTTACACACACACACACACACACACACACACACACACACACACACTCACGAAGGTCTGACAAGTTCGAGAACTTGCCATTGTGCGCTTACATTCACAGCACTCTAGAAACAGCTCGGTAAGGTTTCATAACCTTGGTATAGCAGTTTTTCACAGCTGTGTTTGTGTTGACATGTGGCGGTGTCTTGCTGAGTGGCGTTTATTATTGTTGTTGCATGTTTTTGTGTACTGTTGCGAGAATGTCTGAGCTTGAATTAGAGCAATGAGCAAACATTAAATTTCTTATTAAACTTGACAAGAGTGGAAGTGAAATCAGGGACATGTTAGTCCAAGTTTATGGAGATAATACCATGAAGAAAACGGCATTGTACAAAGAGATTGAATGTTTTCCTGAGGGGAGAGAATGCGTCACTGATGAAGAGAGGTCAAGGTGGCCAGTAGCAAGCAGAGCTGATGAAAACATTACAAATATTCATTAAATTGTGCACCAAAATTGTCAGCTGACTGTGAGAAGCATAGCAAAGCAGGTAAATATTGATAGAGAAACAGGAAAATAATCTTAACTGACAATCTTGGCATGAGAAAAGTGTGTTCAAAATTGGTCCTGAAGTTGCTCACCAATGAACAAAAGTAATGGAGAGTTGAAGTTTGCCAAGACCTTTTGGAGAAGCCAGAGAATGTTTTGTCATGTTATCACTGGTGATGAAACATGGGTGTAGCAATATGACCCTGAAACAAAGCATCAAAGTGCACAATGGAAGTCAGCCAATTCTCCATGAACAAAAAATTCTGTCAGTCCAAATCAAAAGTGAAAATGATGTTGCTAACATTTTTTTGATATCAGAGAGATTATTCATTATGAATTTGTACCAATTGGACAAACAAACAGCTAACCAAGTTTACTGCTTGCAAGTGTTAAAAAGGCTGTGTGAAAAAGTTAGACAAAAACCACCTGAACTTTTCACCAACAATTCATGGCTCTTGCATCACGACAATGCACCAGCTCACACGGCACTGTCTGTGAGGGAGTTTTTAGCCAGTAAACAAATACCTGTATTGGAACATCCTCCCTACTCACCTGATCTGGCCCCCAGCGACTTCTTTCTTTACCCAAAGATAAAGGAAATAATGAAAGAAAGACATTTTGGTGACATTTAAGACATCAAGGATGATACTACGACAGCTTTGATGACCATTCCAGAAAGAGTTCCAAAATTGCTTAAAAAGGTAGAATAGGCACTGGCATCAGCGCATAGCTTCCCAAAAGAATTAGCAATAAGGTATGTGGCACTTTTTCTAGGATGAGTTTGTGAACTTAATTGTCAGGCCCGTGTGTGTGTGTGTGTGTGTGTGTGTGTGTGTGTGTGTGTGTGTGTCTCTAGTCACACACATATATAGTCTAAAATTGTTTGCTTAATGGACGTAGATTTTATATATACTAGTGAATTGAACCAGTTCCCTTTTTTTGTCTACTATTTAAGTGGTTTCAATTTCATTTTTGCTATTTTAAACAAAACATTGTAGCAAGGTCTTGTCACATGATTTTATTTATGTTTATAGCTTATTTTTTTGAAATGGGAATGCTGAGGCAAAGGATAAAACATTTCACAGGTTTTTGATACATTTAATCAGATCACCAAAAATTGTACCAAATTACACTCACTTGGGCAGTTTAAATAAGTTCCCATTTCTTCTCTCAATTTCACCAACACTGAGTATTATCATTACTGTTAATCACTGTTCACCTCCCCCAATTCCCCAATTAAAAAATAAAAATTAAAAAAACAAAAAATAAAAAGTCATTCATAATTTGATTAAAGTAAAATGCTTTGTTATTGTCATTTGAATTTGCAATATTTTGATCACAAGTGTGGTTAAGCTCTTTGTCTGTGTTTATTTACCATTTACATTTTTTTGTTAATAATCTAATTATGTCTTCTGCCCATTTTAATATCTACATTTTCTATGACTTCAATTTTAATATTTATCCATATTTCATTTAAAATTTATTTTATTTGCTTCAAACATGGTATATTGTGTAATCTTTTCTACAACACAACTGTTATATGTTTCTGGGCTTTTGTTTTCTGATTTTTCTTACATATATTATATATCATTTGTTTTAATTGGTATCACATATATGATAGTACAAACCCATCTATATATACTTCTCTTTCAAATTTTTTTGTGCGTTTAACATTATATGTGAATATAAGTAACATTGTGTTAATTTGCCAGACAGTAAAACTCCAATTGGGTTTCTTTATATCAAACAGTTCTGTGGTCCTAGGATTGGATTTAGGCAAGTTATTATTTTTTTTGTCTGGCACTCAATTTGGGGTTCTTTAAAAATCTCACCCTAGTTTGGTTTTTTTTTTGCTTGTTTGTTTGTTTTATGTGAGTAGATGAGATGTTTATATAATTATCAATAAGATCTTAATTTGTTGAGCAAAATATTATTGGTGCTTAGTTGAATACATATGGGCTTGCCATTTTAGAAAGGGCTTTCATTTTATTCTTTTCTTTGACATTACTCCTACATTAATCCTACTTTTCTGCCAAGTCAGAAAAATTACCAAGTTACCAAGACTGAGTGTCTGATATTAATATGTATCATATCTTCTTCCTAGTTTCAAGTAAACTTTTTGATGTAGATATAATTTCAAATAGACTAGCTTACTTTTAGATAATTTTTTTCAGGAAGTCATACACTCTTCTCACATTCTATGTTCTAAGTTTTACAAATGTGTATTTCAGGCAAAACATTTTCCCCAGACTTCTTCTCCCAACTTCTGTGATTCATAACCTGGCTACTTCCTGTTTATCTACTTTAGGGAGGGTTTTTATGACCACTAAAACTTCTAACACATATACTTCAGGTGCGCTTTCTATGTCTATAGTCATACTGTACCAATTTATACACTAGACACTAAGTCCCATTAATACTGAGGATTATCTAAATTGTTCACCTTTGTAGACCTAGAACTGAGCATAGTGCTTGGCATAAAGTATGTAGCAATAAACAAATAAATAAAATACTGAATGACTGAGAATATAGTAATATTTTACTTTAAGTCAAACATCTGATATCAGTTAAATACCAGCACTTAATTCCTTTGTGTGTGGCTTATACATGTGTATGTTTGAGTTTGACATTTGAGGGAGAGTGGTGGGATTCAAGGAAGCCTATAGTCCTCTTATTGCACTTAAAAATGATTCTACATGTAACTCATGAGTTTTAGTATCTTTTCCCATTGAAGTGGCTGGAAAGAACAGTCATTCTCTCTAGTAGTGTCCTTATGTAAGAAGGAGCAAGCCCTGAGTTTGATGGAAGAATCAAGAGCAAAGCAATTTTTACATGCAAATGAATTAGAGCTTTGCACTGACCACCCTTCTACACCCCACCTTTCCACCCTACAACAATTAATTTGTTTTTATAAAACATCACTGAGTTCATCTGGAGACAGATTTCAATGTTGTTATATTTTGGGTGACCCTTAACTTTTGTTTGTACTTTTTCTCATCACTGTAGATCTATGCATATGTCTTTGAAAACATAAAGTCCGTTCAACTGGAAGCACTGCTCATATCCTTGCTGAGCATTGTGATGCTTGTTCTGGTTAAAGAGATGAATGAAAAATTTAAAAGGAAAATTAAAGTTGTTCTTCCTGTTGATTTAGTTTTGGTAAGTATCAAATTAACATTTAGCATTTTGCCCTACAATATTTGCCAGTTGCTGGGGTAACATGCAGAGGTTCACTGTATTCTCTACAGTAACCCACAGTTACTCTGGTCTCTCAATAAAAGAGGGCTAATTTGGTGTACCTTCTGTAACTGTCATCCTAATAAACTTTAATTTAAAAAAAACACCTAAAAAACCAAAAGGACTAATTTGTGTAGCTATACATTAATGTAAGAACAGGAAACATTTTAAGTCAATAATTTAGAAAACGGGGCACACATATTTTTAATTTACACAGCATTTCTCATATGCTTGTAATCCTTTTTAACATAAATAAGAGAACATACAACCTAAGATTTTGAATAAGGAGACATTTCTAAGGGTGAGAATCAAAAGATCTCTGTCATGATTTTCCTTAAAGCAATAAAAAATCATACCACATTGTATTAATTTGGCATCTGTATGATATGCATAGAAATATTATCAATTTACTAATGCCCAGTAATGATTAGCAGATCTATTAACACTTCTTTTGTTGACCTAATTTTGCTTTATTGAAAGGCTACTCATAATTTTCACTGGCCAGGACTGGTTCTGTAAGATATTTTTGATGTTATTGTTGTTGTATATGGCAAAGCAATAAATTATACTTTGCTCCTAGGGTTTATGGCATTAAAAAATACATTTTCAAATTTTAAGAGCTGCTACTGAAAAGCATTGTTTGAAAAAAATATTAAAACCGCAGTCTACTAACTTACTTATCATTAGTTGGCTTTAGTATTATTTTTTTTTAATTTGGGGAATTGGGGGAGGGGAACAGTGTTGGGGAGTTGGGGAAGAGGACCAGCCAAGTTGTTGTTCTTCAATCTTCATTTTCGGAGGGCACCAGGTGCCTTCTGGCTGCCCGTCAGCAGCTCGTGGACTCTAAGCTCAAGGTGCTGTATTCAATCTTAGTTGCAGGTGGGCATAGCCACCATCCCATGTGGGAGTCAAACCAGCAGCCTTGTTGTTAAGAGTGCATGCTCTATCCACTGAACCATCTGGGTGGCAGCTCAGCTCAAGGTGCTGAGTTCAGTCTTAGTTGCAGGTGGGCATAGCCCACCATCAAACAGGCAGTCTTGTTGTTAGGAGCACATACTCTCACCAGCTGAGCCATCCTGCCACCTGTTGGCAGCTCAGCAGCAGCTCAGCTCAGGCACAGTGTCACTGGCCCATGTGGGAATTGAACCAGCAGCCCTGTTGCTCAGAGCTCGCATTCTTAAGCTAACTCTTAACCAATTGAGCCACTTGGCTGGCCCCGGCTTTAGTATTTTGTAATGGTCTTTGGTTTACACATGTATATAAAAAGTCATGTCTAAATAATTTTACTTATTGAAATATCCCTTCTTGGAGTTGAAATGATGTCAGATTGTGTAAATGTATAAGGTTACTACATTAAAAACTGTCTCTGAGTAATAGGACTTATTTCTGTAGAACTAAGATGGATGGTCTCTTTCTATAATTAGGCCTTATACGATTCAATACTCTTGGTAATTTGTGAAGATATGTTTGACACGTGATCTATATTATGTGTGTGTGTTTATAACATTTCAAAGAAGCCATAAAACTGGAGGGCACTATGATTATTGGTAGCTTTCACAGCAACAACTGTGAAACATTTTATTATATTCCAAAGTCCTGTAGGTATTAAGAAATTTTTATTATATGTTGGGAGGCTTTATTACATAAGTTTCATGAAGCCAAAATTGAAAATAACCTTAGGGAAGAAGACCCTTGAGCTAGTAATAAAACATTTGCTTATTCAATGCAGAAATTGTAAGAATTATCCTTATAAAAAATAAAAGGTAATCTTTACATAGTGTTGTCCTTAATATTTGCAAGACCAAGGCAAACTATAACAACTTAAAATTACAGTTCAAAACATTAAATAAAACAGGTTCTGCTTCCTTAGCTTGACTAAAACACCTTAGTGATTACCATGAAAGGCAAGTTAGAATAAAGAATTCACCTGATTCTTTGAGTTCTGCCAGAATATGGCAGCATGGGGGGAGCCAGCCCCTTTGTCTGTCCCTTCTTTTCCTACTTCAGCTCTATCCCACCTACAAGGGGATTGATCTATATCTACATATCTATATATCTATATCATCTATTTATCTCTATTCTATCTATCTATCTATCTATCTATCTACCTATCTATCTATCTATCTATCTATCTATCATCTATCTCTCTATCTATCATCTATCCTTGATTCACTATGCAAGCTCTAAACACCCCTCCGTTCTTCTACCACCACAACTGTCCCTTAGTGTTTCTTTGGGTCACAGTGGGAGGATAGACCTGGGGAATATACTCTGGAAGCAGGTTAGGGACATTTAAGCAGGACATTATAGATTCCTGAGTATACAGAGTGTGGTTCAGAAAGAAGGGTACACATTTGAGTTGGGCATATCCATTTGCCCTCACAAAGCTCCCATCCAATGAAGAGGGCTTAAAGGTAGAGAAGGGCCAGATTAAAGCTTAAAGGTAGAGAAGGGCCAGGTTAAGCCTGGGGCAGGTTCTTACACAAGTCTAAGGGTAGTTCTAGCATTATACACACATATAATATTGAAGACAGACAAATAAATTGACTGGTAAAGAAAGTTTAATTATGTTCAAGAAATATAGTGAGGAAGTAAGACACTGTCTGAAAGACCAATTCAGTGGCTTAGGTTGCTTAATTTTAATATTGGTTATGTGTATTGAACATCATTTATGCTTCCATTTTCAATAATGATTGAAGATCTTGTGGCTATAGTACATTTTCCTTTATATCTCACAGTATTGTCTGACCTGATATAAATATTTCATGAAAATTATTAGTAATTAAATTTATTAATAGGCTTAGGAATTTTTGAGTATGTTAATATTTCTAATTCTAACCTAATAGCCTGAATTTTTAACTACTACTATCTCATTTAGAAAATACTATTATATCACAATATTTATAAGTTGGGCATTAATAATTAGATATTCCTTATTTTGCTAATGTAATTTTGCTATACAATATTTCTGGCCACAGATATGGTAAATTTGTATTTTAAAAAGAAAATTGGTGTGTCTCTTTTTAACAAAAGTGTAGTATATGAAGTGTGGTCAAACAATATGGTGAATGTTTAAATTAAAAACAAATTATTACAGTAAAAGACAGATTGCCATTAATCTCCCTCAAAATACTCCCCTTTGCTTCAAACACACTTATTCCATCATTCTTGCCACTTTCTGCAGCAGTTCTCAAAGTCCTCTTTTGTGAGTGTCTTTAGTTGTGCTGTTGTGGATGCCTCAATGTCCTGAATCAATTTGAGTTTGGGAAAGAACCAGAAATAACATGGTGCCAGATCAGGTGAATAAGGAAGATGAGGATACACCGTAATGTTTTTATTTGACAGAAATTGCTGTATACCAGATGACTCAGCGTGTCATCATGATAGAGGATGATTTATGACACACTTTAAAGTACACCTTCTCTCAACCATAGCTCACACCCAACTGACTGCACCAAACAAGTTGAAACTTGTCACACACTGTTACTGAGGTTCCAAGAACCACTTTCCATATTGAAAATCCCTACCTTTCCATTGAATGTCACTTAGCAGCATTCACTGTATTTCCTGATCACAACAGAAAGACTCTGTGTCACACACTACTTCTGGTAGTTCTACAATGGTTCTACAATTTCTGTCAAATAAAAACATTATGTTGTGTCCTCTTCCAACTTACTCACCAGATCTGGCAGGGTGCAACATCTAGCTCTTTCCCAAAGTCAAAATGACCATGAAAGGTAAATGTTTTTAATTGATTCAGGACATTGAGGCAACCACAACAGTGCAACTAAAGACACTCACAAAACAGGACTTCCAGAACTGCTTCAGAAAGTGGCAAGAATGATTGAATAAGTGTGTTTAATGCAAGGGAGAGTATTTTGAGGGGATTAATGGCAATGTGTCTTTTACTGAAAATTTTTTAATTTAAACATTCACTGTATTTTTATTACACCTTGTATAAATAATTCTAAACTGATACCAAACTGATACCATAACCATGTGAAATTTCCAGTACCTATTAAAATTATCAGAAGAATGAAAAGGGATTATGGAAATGAATGGAAAACATTAGGTGGCACGGCTGGTAAAACAAAGGCTGACCTGGGTTCTGAACATGTATTTAAAGGTGATTATAGATATAAGCAGAGAACACTTAACTTGCTTGTCATATATCATATGTCATATATCATACCATATAACAGATCATAGGCACCTGAGACTCTCTGGAGTATATTTTACTTCAAGAAATAGTAAAATCTTAAAATTTAAAAATATTCAAGGAGAATATAAATCATTATTAATTACTAACCTATATTAGGAATATTGATGCAATATCTCAAAACATGCTATTTTATAAAACATCCCTTTATGTCACAAGAGACAAGTGTTTAGGTTGGATTGTGATATCTTAAACACATATATACACACATGCACACACACACACACACACACACATCTATAGTCTGTGTTTTGCTCCCCTTCAAAATTAGATATAATTGGGTTGTCCCAGGGTAAGATATTTTTAAAAACCATATTATTGGAATGCCATTTAATTTTTAAAATTAAATTAAAAATCTTTTAAATTAAAGTTTATTGGGGTGGAGGGGGGTGATAGATGAGGGTAAAGGGAATCAAATATATGATGATGGAAAGAGAACTGACTCTGGGTGGTGAGCACATAATGTGATATATAGATGATGCATTACAGAATTGTACACCATTTAATTTTTGAGACTGCAAGTTAACGGCTCTCAAATTGCAGAGGGATTTTTTTGGTTTTTTAAGTTCCTTAATTTTTAAAAACCTGTACAAATACTACATTATTCTTGATGATCATGGGACACATGAACAATGATTACTTTTAAAAATAGTTTTTAAAAAGATGTTTGAAAGACTAGTAATAATTTTCTTTTTCTTTTTTCAAATGGAACCACTAGATTATTGCTGCATCACTTGCTTGCTATTGTACCAACATGGAAAACACGTATGGATTAGAAGTAGTTGGTCATATTCCAAAAGGGTAATGTAGTCATTTTTCTTATTTGTTTGCTTGTTTGTTTTTGATGGAGGAAGGGACTGGAGGTAGGTGGCATGGATTTCATTTCTTTTAAAGGCCATGTAGGGGACAAAATTCTAATTAATTTCTATTTTCAATGATAAAAACAAACAACACACATATAGAAAAAGAGTAACTTCTTAGACTGTTTACGTATAACTAGGAAAGTTAATAAATATCTTATACAGCATTGCTTCAGGTAAAAGACTTGGAAATTATTGACAATGATATTTGAAAAAAAAAAAGAAGGGCATTCAATTTCCAAATTAGAATCACGCTGTGGAATTTAGTCTTCTCCATTCCACTCACATACTCTTATGACTACTTTTATTTCACTTGAAATAGTAAAATTACACAAGCATTATCCGAAATAGTAAACCCATAGGCCTGGGTAGTATATAATCACAAGGGAGAGGGTGAAGTGGAGAAGAGGGCATTATTCTCTACCTATCTTAAAGCCTTTCTCTGGAAACCAAGAGGAAGTTTAACAAGAATAAATGGTCACCCTAAAACGGCAAAAGGTCCTTCTAAATATAGCCTGAAAGAAAACAAAGGCATCTATGTGACGAGGTGGTTATTTCCATTTTTTTTTCTTTTAAAGATTTTATTGGGGAATTGGGGGAGAGGAACAGTGTTGGGGAATTGGAGAAGGGGAACAGCCAAGTTGTTGTCCTTCAGTCTTAGTTGTGGAGAGCACAGCTAGATCAGCTCCAAGTCCAGTCGCCATTTGACCGCCCATCAGCAGCTCGCAGCCATTCAGCTAAAGGTGCCATGTTCAATCTTAGTTGCATGGTATGCAGCCCACCATCCCATGGTCGAATGGCTCAGTGGTTATTTTCTTTTAATGGGCTACATGTACACCGGTGTTTATAAATTTGGGGCAAAGTTACAGTTGCTGAGTCCTCTGTATTTTTAACTTGTAGTCCAAAATTTTGTTTTCTAGCTACATTAGAATGAAGAGTAGAAAAATTTCAGAGATTAAAAAGATAATTTTTTAAAAAAGATTTTATTGGAGAATTGGGGGAGGGGAACAGTGTTGGGGAATTGGAGAAGAGGACCAGCCTAGTTGTTCTTCAATCTTCATTATGGAGGGTGCCAGTCGCCATCTGACTTCCCCTTGGCAGTTTATGACCTCTAAACTCAAGGTGCTGTGTTCAATCTTAGTTGCGGGTGGGCGTAGCCACCATCCCATGTGGGAGTCGAACTAGCAGTCTTGTTGTTAAGAGTGCGTGCTTTATCCACTGAGCCATCTGGGTGGCAGCTCAGCTCAAGGTGCCAAGTTCAGTCTTAGTTGTGGGTGGGCGTAGCCCACCATCGAACGGGCAATCTTGTTGTTACACTAACTGAGCTATCTGGCCATATGTTGGCAGCTCAGCGACAGCTCAACTCGGGCACAGTGTCACTGGCCCATGTGGGAATCAAACCAGCCCTGTTTCTCAGAGCTCGCACTCTTAAGCCAACTCTTAACCAACTGAGCTACTCGGTCAGCCAAAGATAATTTTTAAAAATTCTATCTTTAGTCTTAAGGCAGTTACAGGCTAATGGTGATTGTGTGAATCAACATGGGTTTTCTAAAGGGCTATCTATATTTCCACCTTTAAAAGTCAGTTTATTGTTTCTTTCTAGGTCAGTTTATTTATTTATTTATTTATTTATTTATTTATTTATTTATTTATTTTTAAAGATTTTTTTATTGGGAATTGGGGGAAGGGGAGCAGACAAGTTGCTGTCGTTTTTGTTCTTCAGTCTAGTTGTGGTGGATGTTGCTTCACTGGCTCAAGTTGGCACCATCATTGCACTCTTCCCAGGTGAGGCACATCAGTCGCCGGCTTCTGGACAGCCGCTCACTGCAGCTGCTGGCTGCTCACGCTGGCTGCTGGCTACACATGGTAGCCCAAGGCAACCCACTGCCACAGGGGCTGCAGTCCACACCGTCGCTGGCGACTCACAGCAGCCCAGCTCCAGGTTGAGCTGTTCTTCAGCATCTTAGCTGATGGAGGGCAGTGTCACTGACCCTCATATGTGGGATCTGAACAGGGTCCCTCTGGCATCCCAAGGCAGTTCTTAACCACCGTGCCACTCGGCCGGCCCTCTAGGTCAGTTTATTGTTATTAATAATTAGGCAAGATAAATTTTCATGAACAAAAGTTTTTATACTTTGAAATGGTAGCACTTTTGTATAACATACATTTTAGGGCCTGTAATTATTCAAATCAATTCATTTTGATGGTAATTTTAGCAAGTGGGTAAAAAAATCATGCCTCTCCTCTATCCATTCTGATTATCCTTTATTTTGAGTGGGCTATCCAGACTCAGTCTTTTAAGGAAGCAAAGAAAGAGGGTAGCATTGAAATTAGATGGAACTGAGATTGAATTCCAGCTCTACCATTTATTCTGTGATTTGGATACATTACCTAACCTTTCTCCTCCATGAAGCTAATACTATGAAAGTGCTGAGGATTCTACTTATATACTAGGTGTTAAGTCACCATGAATTCTCTTTCCTTTTCTTCTACTTTTGCCCCAGGTAAATTTTTTGTTAGTTAGTTTGTTTGAGAGGAAATAAATATCCCAAAGCATCACTGGGGATAAACAAATGATGATACCATGCTTGGCTCAAGTGGTTTTAAAACGACAGTAAGGCCCTCCAAGTGGCTCAGTTGGTTAAGAGCGCAAGTTCTGAGCAACAGGATTGCCAGTTCGATTCCCACATGGGCCAGTTAGCTGCGCCTGAGCTGAGCTGTGGCTGAGCTGCCAATGGGTGGCAGGATGGCTTAGTGGTTGGAGTGTGCATTCTTGGCAAAAAGGTTTCTGGTTTGACTCCCGTATGGGATGGTGGGCTGTGCCCACCCACAACTAAGATTGAGCACAGCACCTTGGGCTGAGCGGCTGTGAGCTGCCAATGGGTGGCCGATGGCAACTGGACTTGGAGCTGAGCTAGTTGTGCCCTCCACAACTAAGATTGAAGGGCAACAACTTGGCTGTTCCCCTTACCCAATTCCCCAACACTGTTCCACTTCCCCAATTTTTCAATAAAAAAATCTTTAAAAAATAAAAAAATAAAATAAAAAAACAATAGACAATGGCTAGATATTAGTTGAAAGAAATATTTTAAATAGTTCTTTAAAACTGAGAAACAGTTAATTGTGGTCCTATATTTTGCAACAGAGTGTAGAGGGAACCTTGATACATATTTTTCTTAACTATGTGATGCATAATTAGGTGTGCTATGAAAGTTAAAAACATAATTAAGATTATGAACTCAATAGCAAATTTAGGGGTTAACTAAAAAATTGTAGATCACAATAAACCAGTGTTTGCATAAAGCACTATAGTATTCAAAGCAGAGATTACCATCCCTAAATGCCAGCCAAATAAATATTTTTAAAGATTCAAATGAAAGTATGCTTCATATGTGCTTTTGTTCTGATATAGGACATTTTTGTCTAGTTAGAGTTCCTGTAATGTAACCTAAATTCCCTGGGTGTAAATGACAGATGCATAGAGTTGTCCCTGTGGTGTTCCTTGTGATTTTGCTTTTCCGCTAAATAATGTTAAAAAGAAAAAACTTCTAAGGACAAGGCTGCTTGGTTTTCTCATGGGTATTTTACTTATTCTGTGTAAAATCATAGCCATTACCACAGTTTGAATTCATTGCCAGTTGTTATATAAATTACATGAAAATTGGTGCTTTCACTATGGCATTTCATTCCACAGAATTCCTCCACCTAAAGCTCCCTCAATGAATGTCCTTTCTGCAGTAATCACAGAAGCTTTTGGAGTGGCACTTGTAGGCTACGCGGCCTCACTGGCTCTTGCTCAAGGATCTGCCAAAAAATTCAAATATTCAATTGATGACAACCAGGTGGAGTATTCCCCAGCCCCTCCCCACAGCTGTTGTATCATTGTACTGTGTATTCCCAGGTCTAAAAAATGTGAACTTATGAAAAATATAACTTTCCTAAGTGTAAAGCAAGAATGGGTAGAAGAAAACAAAAGAAAAATCTCTAAATCATTTATAGAAAGCTGAAAATATGAACTTCATGAGTTGGTTTATAATTTTAATTTATTTTTAGAAAGAGGAACATCTTGATTTTCTTTTTATTTTGCTTTTAGGAGAGAATCTAAATATATTTACCATTGCATACTTTTAAAAAATATAGATTTTAAAGTACAAATAATGCTAATATTATTTTTCTTAGTAAAAAAAAACTGCAAGATGTGAGAGCCTATTTTTAGAATAATACCAAACAATGCAGATAATGTTGATCATAATTCTGAATACACTTGTGTCAGTATCTTGTTTTAAGCCCTGTGGCCCTATATTCCTGCCAGTCTGCAGAGACAACTGCAGAATACTGGTTACAAATACCAAATTACCTGTGTCGAAATCTCACTCTGATACTATGTGCACTTAATTGTTTCTGTACCCCAGTTTTGTCATCTGTAAAAAAGCAGATTTATTTATTCAACAAATGTGTACTGAATAATACTAATGTACCAGACATTAGTCGAAGAACAAGGGATATAACAGTGAACAACACAGACCATATCTCTCATCTCAGAATCTCCCAGTGGCTTCCTCTCATACTCATGAAAAACCTATTTACCAATATTTACCATGTAAGGGCTTACACGACCTGCCACCATCCTTTTTTCTCTCTGATCTCATATCCCTTTTAAACTCTGTTCTAGCCATACTTGTTGCCTTGCTTTTCCTTGAACCCACTACTTATGTTTTTGGCTCAGGACATTTGCACCTGCTCTTTCCTTTCCCAGGAACTGTATTCCCCACCCCCCCACCCCCAGATATCTGCATGCCACCTTTATTCAAATAAATGTTCCCTTCTCAGAGAGGCCTTCATTGGTAAGCTGAAGTCCTAAACTCAAGATTTTCCACTCCCTCTGCTTTACTTTCTATATTAATCTTGTTTATTGTCAGCATTCCCTCACTAGAATGCCAGTTCCATAAAGGCAGAGATATTTGTCTGTGTTGTTTACTGGCAACAGGAGAGGCAGGAAACCATTAGGAGTTTTTTGTAACAATCCAGGTGAAATTTGATAACTTGGACCAGGGTGTAGTAATTGAGGAGATGAGAAGTGGACAGGTTCTAAATTGAATGTGGATACCATCTGGGAGAAAGTGAAGGAGTCATTAATACTGTCACATGCTTCTTAACGACAGGGATACATTCTAAGAAATGCATTGTTAGGAAATTTTGTCATTGTGCAAATATCACAAATTGCCCTGATACAAAACTAGATGGTATAGCCTACTGCACATGTAGGCTATATGGTATAGCTTATTGCTCCTAGGCTATAAACCTGTAAGCATGTTACTGTATAAAACAACAGGAGATTAAATCAAGCACAAGATGAAATGATACAATCGGAGACATGGTAAACATGATATGTATGAGGCTGCTTATAGGCATCACAGGGTATACTATTTCATAGCAAACATTTTTTCAATAAGTAGAAAGAGTACACACTAAAATAATGATGAAATATATAGCATAGTAAATACATAAATGGAGAACATAGTCATTTATTATTACTATCAGGTATTACATATTCTACATAACTGTATATGCTGTATACTTTTATATGAATGGCAGTGCAGTAGGTTTGTTTACACCAGCCTCATCACAAATGTAATATGTTGCAATACAATGTTACAATGGCTATGATGTCACTAGGTGATACGAATTTTTTAGCTCTATTATAATCCTATGGGACCACTGTCATATATGAGGTATGACAATTAAGTTTGTGAACTCATCCTAGAATAAGTGCTACATACTTCATGGCTGAATATCACTACAATCACCTTTAAACTACTCCCCTTGGAAAGCTATGCACTGATGCCAGTGCCTAGTCCACCCTCCAAGGCAATTTTGAAACTCCTTTTCTGAAATGACCATCAGAGCTGTTGTCGTATTACCCTTGATGTCCTGAATGTCATCAAAATGTCTTCCTTTCAATATTTCCTTTATTTTCAGGTAAAGAAAGAAGTCATTGGGGGCTAGGTCAGGTGAGGTCAGGTAGGTTAGGGAGGGTGTTTCAATAGTTATTTGTTTACTGGCTAAAAACTCCCTCACAGACAGTGCCATGTGAGCTGGTGCATTGTCGTGATGCAAGAGCCATGAATTGTTGGTGAAACGTTTAGGTCATTTTCATCCAACTTTTTCATGCAGCCTTTTCAGCACTTCCAAACAGTAAACTTGTTTAATTGTTTGTTCAGTTGGTACAAATTCATAATGAATAATCTCTCTGACTCTTGTTTTGGACTGATGGGATTTTTGGGGCATGGAGAATTGACTGACTTCCATTTTGCACTTTGACTCTTTGTTTCATGGTCATATTGGTACACCCATGTTTCATCACCAGTGATAACATGGCCCCAACATCATCTTGTCTCTCTGAAAGTTCTTGGCAAACTCTGACTCTCCTTTGCTTTTGACCATCGGTGAGCTCCTTCAGAACCATTTTTGCACACAGCTTTCTCATGCCAAGATTTTCCTAACTGTTTCTCTATCAATGTTTACTTGGTCTGCTATGCTTCTCACAGTCAGTTGATGATTTTGATGCAGAATTTGATGAATTTTTGCAATGTTTTAGTCAGTTCTGTTCCTTACTGGCCTCCTTGACCTCTCTTCATTAGTGATGGACATTCTCTCCCCTCAGAAAAATGTTTAATCCATTTATACACTGCCATTTTCTTCATGACATTATCCCCATAAACTTGGACTAATATGTCCCTGATTTCACTTTCACTCTTGCCAAGTTTAGCATGAAAGTTAATGTTTGTTCATTGCTCTAATTCAAATTCAAACATTCTTGTGATGGCACACAAAAACATGCAACAACAACCAGCACCACACAGCAAAACACTGCCACACGTCAACACAAACACACCTGTGAGAAACTGATATACCAAGGTGATGAAACCCTTACTGAGCTGTTTGTACAGTGCTGCCAATGTAAGTACATGGTGAAAAGTTCGCCAACGTAATTGTCAGACCTAGTATGTAGTCTGTCATTGACTATAATGTTATTATGAGGCATATGACTGTAGTATCTGTGAAGCTTTTGGCCCAAAGATGTGGAACTTAAGATGGGGAAGAATGTAGGAGGGCCAAGTTGGGGTGGTAGACCCAATTAATTTTAGCCATTCAAATGTACACGGGTGAATAGCAAGTTGACTATATAAGTCTGAAGTTTAAAAGAGTGGTCCAGGCTGGATATATAAATTTTGGAGTTGTCAATATGTATTTGGGTAGCTAAGATACAGATATTTGTGATTGGTTATCGGAGAAGGAACCACAAAAGAAATTGAGAAGTTTGACCAAGGAGGTAAGAGGAAACCAGGTGGGTGTGAGTTTCCAGAAAGCCTAGAAGAAGGAAGAAGTGAGCAATTGTGTCAAATGCTGTGTTTAGGCCAAGTAAGGTAGAAATTAACCACTGTGGAGGCCATTGAGTAGAGGGAATAGAAGCCTTGATTATAGAGATTTAAAAGATAAGGGAGAAATTGGTAACAGAGACAATAAATAACTTGTACTTTTCTATAAGGTTGTCATGAGGATTAAATGAGTGAGTATAGTGTTTAGGACAGTTTCTGGCTCATTGTAAACACTCAATAAATTTAGCTTTTTTTAAAACAATGGTTAAATCATAACTAGTGGAGAGAACAGAAATTGAATACAAACAAATCTCATTCTTTGACAAGTTGCACCTGTGTTCTCTGAAAATTGATTGTTATTAAGAAATGATATAGTCTCCTGTTATCAATCTTATAGGAATTTTTGGCTCATGGTCTCAGCAATGTGATTTCTTCATTTTTCTTCTGCATACCAAGTGCTGCTGCCATGGGAAGGACCGCTGGCCTATACAGCACAGGAGCAAGAACACAGGTAACTTCATTGTCTAGCAGGGACAAAATGATTGTTGGGCCTTTACTCCCCTGAGAGAGTGGGAAGAGTGAATTTCTCTCTAAAGTCCTGAAAATATTTTTACTTTTTCAATTTTTTTCTAACTAGTTTCAAAGAAGTCTGTCTCTCTTCTCTTCCTCAAGAATGATCCTTTCAGAAGCTAGTTGATTTCAGTAAACTCTAAAAAAATCCTGTACTCAAGATCCATGATAATCTTGAGATTATTTAGCTAAGTGAAATAAATCACACAGAAAAAGTCAAGAACCATATAATTTTACTGTTATGTAGGATATAACAATGAAAGCAACAAAAAAACCAAGACAAACAAATAAGGAAACAAAAACTCATAGACACAGACAATAGTTCAGTGGTCACCAGAGGGTAAGGGGATGGTAGATGAGGGTAAGTGGGATCAAATATACCATGAGTGCCAAAAAAATGTATACACATTTTAAGAGATGTTATCTATACCCAAGCAGTAGATCGCTGTAATCAGAAGTGTCTGATGATAACCACTTTGAGCACCTCTTGTAACTGCAAGTCAAACATGACTTGTATTTATCTTTTGTTATCGGTATATATTGAGTATTACAATGAATAGAGTTTTTTCCTTTCTTAAAATGTGTGTATATTATTTTGGTATCCTCTGTATGGTGATGGAAGAACTGACTATGGGTGGTGAACACACATGTGAAATATAGATGATGTATTACAGAATTGTACACTTGAAACCTACGTAATTTTACTAACAATTGTCACCCTAATAAATTTTAATAATAATAAAAAAAATTCTGTACTAATGATATCATGATCATTGTCAACCCTTGAACGGAGCTCCCTCAAAGGGTGTCTCTGATTTTTTTTTCTTTGCTAATCTAACCAATTCGAAAAATTTCCATTTTTGTTCATTATCTTTAAATAAAATGAAATCAATCATATGAAAAAGTAGTCATTGACATTGAAATTTCTGTCTATACAGATGTACAAGTCTGTAAATGAGTAATAAGATAGCTTTGCTCATTTGAGGTAAAAGAAACAATTATTATATATTTTTTAGGAACTCAAGTCAATTTGACATTTGAGTGCCTGCTATATTCCAGGTATTATGCTAGGTACTGGTAAGATGACAATAATAATGAAGATGTAGCTGTGATGATGATAATAATAGTGATGTTGGTGGAAACATATGTTGAGTTATGTGCCAGGTATTGCTTGTCATACTTTCTATGTAAATGAGCTCATTTAAATCTTTAGGCAACTCTGAAAGAAGTATGATTATTATTCTCAGTTTCCACATGATAAAGTTGAGGAAAAGAGGGTTAAAGTAAATTACTCAGGTCAGAGAGCTAGTGAGTTGGCAGAGCTGGGATATGAACCTAGATAGATTTACCCCAAATTTTGCACTTTTAACCACTGTTCTACAAGTATACAAGGAAATTTATGTATATAATGTTAATACAAAAATTAACATTAACAGCTAGCCATTTTAAAACAATTCACATTTATTTAAGATTGGAATTGAATGAAAATTTATAAAACATTTTATGTGATAAGTCAAACATTTATTAGGAGTCTACCTTACAGTAAATCTTTGGGGGGCGGGAATTGAAAGAATAAACTTAAAAAGGATATGGTTCTTGACTTTGATGATCAAGTGGCAGGAGAAATATGGGTAAATAGATATTGAAATACAGCACAAAACTAATAAAATTATTAATGAATAATAATTAATGGAGCAGAGAGAAAGCAGCAACAAATTCTAAATGTATAATAATTTCACAAATTGTCAGAACTCATCAGCTAAGATGTGAAATCCTCATTCAACCTTATTTTACATGACAATTTAATTGAGTTTATGTAGTTAGTGACTTCAAACATAGGTTCATCATGTGTATGGCATAAACATTTTTACAAATTGTACTCTCAGATGTTTGTGATCTAAATTTGAATGTTAAATACATAGTGTACTCAAGTATCATTCCTTACAAGACTCGCCTATGTGTTAAATCTAGCATCTTATAGTAGTTTCAACCTGTTTTCTCACAAGGATGAGTATATTCGATTTCTTCTCTTCATGTTCAGGTTAGATAAGTATAGTGAGTGGTGAAGGGCATGGATTCCAGAACCTGAGACTGTGTTCTGGCTCCACCTCTAGTGGTTGAGTGACTTTACACACATAACTTTGACCTCTCTAACCTAAGAGGACTCGGCTATTAAAGTAATTGTTACAACAATTAAATGAATTATTGCATGCTTATTTAGCACAATGACTAAGCATCAAATAAATGTTCCTTCAATGTTAACAATTATCACTGATTTTATTATTATTATTTTTACTCTAATAAAGTATTTTCAGAACCTTTTATATAACATTGATTATTAAAATGTCCTGGTTTGGCTGGGATGCAGCAAGGCAGTTCGTAGTCCAAATTGGCCTTCCAACTTGTTGGGGATCTTGAGCAAGTTAGCATTTTCATTCATCATATAGACAGGGATGATTGGAATAGAATCTGTGAAGTGTCTTCCACCTTGAGTGTATTCCATATCTGGGGTTTCCTTAGGTATTTATTGCTTTTCTAATTACTATTTTAGTAATAACAAAACCATCTGAGTAATCTTTGTAACTTTAAATTTTGAATGAAAGAGAATATGTTGAGAGAAAACGTGTAGTTATTTTTAAATCTGGGATTTGTTTTTCATTTAAGTTGGGCATAAATTTGTTAAATTAATAAGGTAGGGGTGGAGAGGAGGCCTTCTCTTCTCTGTTCCAGAGGCCATACATTTGCATGATTAGAACAACAGAACTTTTTTAAGGACTTTTCATTTAAAAGTTATTTTCTGCATGGTAGTATTCATCAGACTTCAGCAGGAATGAAAGAAATCTAACAAAACTATTTTTTAGAAAGAAATCTAAAAAATAGTTCAGGAAAACAAAGCTTGGCAACAGAGTATTTTATGCTGTTCTGCTTGTTACAATGGTCACTAACCTGTTCAACAATTTCCATTAAATTGCACAGAGAAGGAATCTGATTTAATGTGCATACCCAAAATGAGGGTGCTTTCCCACAGCAGTAATTTTAGACTTTTAACATGGACATGGTTTGATGGAGACATGGGATAAGCCAAATCCTGAGAGTTTTATTCTAAATAGGCTTTTTGTAAAGCCAGTTTTCTATGTGACAAGACTTCACAAAAAAACTCCTTAAATGATTCTGTCTCCTTTAGGGACTAGACTTATACCCAATAAATTAATCTAGAGGACTTAAAAACTCTTCAACTTTATGCTAATGACAGTCAACTAAAGGAGCAGTGGGGATCACCTTAAAATTGTTAATTATTCCACTAATTGACTCTTTCTTATTCAGAAACATTATCAATATCTCTGTAGAAAGTTATCTTTTTAAAATGAACATATGATCTTGTGGCTTCCTCCTAAAGCTTTGCATAGGTCTTAGGATTCAGACCTCCTTATGTTACCTACAAGCCTCTGATGCTTCCCTCTACAGCCTGGTCTTGCTTGGACTGTTCTTTATCTTATTCCCAGCTCTCTCATCATATGGTCCTTTTTCCTTCCTTGTGAGTTCTAGTATCTGATCCATGTGCCTTTGTGGCTGCCTCCCTGTCTCCTCTAAGTGAACTTCTCCTATTCTTCAGATCTCCCTGTCACTTCTGGGTCAACTGTGTTCTTTTCTTCAGAGACCTGAGCTCTGTTGGACATTAAACTTTCATCAGTGTGGTTATATTATTGATGCCTGCCATCTATTCTTGACTTAAGCTCCTAGAGAACAGGGTCTTTGTCTGCTATATGTTCAGTGTCTAGCCCAGAAGCTGGCACATAGGAGGTGTTCAATAACTATGCAGAAAGAATGAATGAGAGATAGAAGTCTAGTTTCATTCTTTTGCATGTGGCTTTTCTATTCTCTCAGCACCATTTATTGAAGAGGCTGTCTTTTCTCTATGGTATGTTTTTGGCTCATTTTTGAAATTTATCTGTCCATATTTATGTAGGTTTATTTCTGGGTTCTTAGTTCTATTCCATTGGTCTGTGTGTCTGTTTTTCTGCAAATGTCATGCTGTTTTGATTATTATTGCTCTGTAGTACAATCTGAAGTTAGGGAGTGCAATACCTCCAGCATTATTCTTCTTTCTTAGGATTGTTTTTGCTATTTGGGGTATTTTGTGTTTCCATACAAATCTGATGATTTTTTATTCTATCTCAAAATGGATCAAAGACCAAAACATAAGACCTGAAACAATAAACCACATAGAAGGAAATATAGGTACTAAACTTATGGACCTTGGGGTCAAAGAGGATTTTATGAATTTGACCTAAAGGCAAGGGAATTAAAAGCTAAAACCAATGAATGGGACTACATCAAACTAAAAGGCTTCTGCACAGCAAAAGAAACCGTTGACAAAATAAAGAGGCAATCAACCAAATGGGAGAAGATATTTGCAAACAATGCCTCCAATAAGGGGCTATTATCCAAAATATATAAGGAACACTTACAACTTAACAACAAAAAGCCAAACAATCCAATTAAAAAATGGGCAGAGGACCTGAATAGACACTTCTCCAAAGAGGACATACAGGTGGCCAATAGACATGTGAAAAATACCCAACATCACTAATCATCAGAAAAATGCAAGTAAAAACCACAATGGGGTATCACCTAACTCACACCACTTAGAATGACTATCATCAGCAAGACAAATAATAACAAATGTTGGAGAGGCTGTGGAGAAAAAGGAACCCTCATACATTGTTGGTGGGAATGCAGATTGGTGTAGCCATTATGAAAGGCAGTGTGGAGGTTCCTCAAAAAATTAAGAATAGAATTACCATTTCACCCAGCAATCCCTCTCCTGGATATCTACCCTAAAAATCTGAAAACATTTACCATATTTCCCCATGCATAAATGCACACTTTTTTGGAAAAATTTGGCGTCTAAAAACTGGGTCCATCTTATATAGTGGTTGTAGATCATTGTCAAGTCATTTAAGAAGTGTGACATTTCAAATGCCATAGATGGAACTGAAGACGAGGCAATATATGAAGATAGTGATTCGTCATCAGACACAGATGAGGACAAGCTAATGGTTGGGAGTTTTGACAATGATGAGGTGTTGTGTGAATTTTATGATGAATAAAACTTGAGTTCAATAACTTTATGTGATACACTTTTTTTCCCAAATTAAGGTGCATCTTATACATGGGGAAATACAGTATCTGTAAAGATACATGTGCTCCTATGTTCACTGCAGCTTTACTTACAGTGGCCAAGACATAGAAACAACCCAAGTGTCCTTTGATAGATGATTGGATAAAGAAGATGTGGTATATATACACAATGGAATACTATTCTGCCATAAGAAAAGCTGACAGTGCCATTTGTGACAACATGGATGGATCTTGAAATTATTATGCTAAGTGAAATAAGTCAGACAGTAGAAATGGAGAACCATATAATTTCACTGACATGCTGGATATAAAATTGAAAGCAACAAAGGAACAAGACGAACAAACAAACAAAAACCCATAAGCATAGAGAATAGTTTAGTGGTTACAGAGAGTAAGGAAGAGAGGGGTGGTAGATTACAGTAAAAGGGATCAAATATATGGTGATGGAAGGAGAACTGACTCTGGATGGTGAACACACAATGTGATATATAGATGATGTATTACAGAATTGTCCACTTAAAACCTATGTAACTTTACTAACCATTGTCACCCCAATAAACTCTAATTTAAAAAAATATGAATGAGAAATGAAAATACCCAAAAATTATAAAACTAGTCAATGTTACTGATGTTAGAATGGACAGGTTAAGCCAGGAAAAGTTTTTATTGCAACTTAATGCAATACATTTGGAGTCAGGAAAATCCCACTTAAAATCAGGCTTATAGGATCATAGACTTTAGAGAAGTGCTCAGCAATAGAAACATAAGCAATTTAAATTTTCATGTAGTCATATTTTTAAAAGTAGAAGAAAACAAAATAAATATAAATAAAAATAGGAGAAACTGATATAAATAAAAATATAAATATTTATATTTTTATTTTTTATTTATATTTATAAAAATATATATAAATATAAATAAAAAAATTTATAAATTTTTTTAATTTATAAATATTTATATTTATAAACTTACAATATAAATAATATTTATATTTTTTATTTATATTTATAAAAATATATATAAATATAAATTTAAAAATATTTATAAATTTTTTAATTTATAAAAAAATTTATAAATATTTATATTTATAAAGTTACAATATAATAAAAAGTAGGAGAAACTGATAAAATTAATTTCAGTTTATCCAATATAGTCAAAATATTATTTCAAAAAATTTTTAAAAATTATTAAGGATATATTTCACATACTTTTCTTTTATACTAAGTCTTCAAAATCTGGTGTGTATTTTACATTTACAGCATATCTTAATGTGGACTAGCTACATTTCAAATGCTCAAGAGCCACCTGTGTCTATATTTGCACATTTAAGACTATTTTGCATACAAGTGAGTTTATGGTAAAGCCTTTCCATTCTTTAGAAAATCAAATTAAAATATTTAAATTGAAGTAAAAGATACTGATTATTTCATATCCCTTATAGGATGTTTGGTCCTGCTCAAACATCCATGGAGACATTTGGTCCATGCCAAAATGCCCTTGACATTTGACTCAGTACAAAAACATTCATGCCTAGAAAACATCCCTGGGTTCAAACATTCTATAACATTTATTTCTAATTTTGGTTTACAGGATTCATACATAAAAATACTCTTATGGTTTCTTGGTCCAATAACTGTTTTCACTGTACTGCCAGTAATAGCCCTTTTGCCTACGTAACCTAGGTCCTAATGGCACATGGGGTGAGGTAGATGAATTGACATGACCAAATGTGTCTGTGGACATTTCAGACGGTACCAAATGTCTGCTAATCTTAATACCAAGTGTCATGGTCAAAGATCCAAACACATTTCTGTCCCCACAGTAGAAACCCTATTTACAGTGATTTCCTTTAGATGTGACATGCAGTGCATGGGTATCTAAGAAAGTTTTGGTGCTGCTGAGACATATAGTACAAATAAATTTTGTGAGTCTTTCTTCTACACTTACCTTTAAAAAAATGTTAACTAGAAAGGGATCACAGTATCCCCTAGCTCTTTCCCCTGCATGTTTCTCTTTGCTTCCAACAGAGTGAGTACACTGGGGCTCTTCAGGCATTTTGGGAGGCATAACTGAACCATGAAGGATGAGAGACAGCGTCTGCTGCAGGTGAAACTCTGTCACAGCCACAGACAATAGCTTGCATATTTTTCTGCAACGCTGAGATTGCCTCTGGGTGCCAATTTGCCAAACTATGTTCCTTTATTTTTTTCCAGAATTTGTCTTATTGCTTCTAATGCCTTTAAAGTCTTTTTAATCTAGTCTTAGTTACTCAATAGCCTCTCTCTTTTCCTTTTTCTGCCCTTTCCCATCTCTGTGGCCAGTCCATTACTTTCCACAAAGCAGTGCATATAGTGAGCTGTTGACCTGCTTTCCATTCCTTGAAAACTACTTAGAAATGAAATGAGTGACATCTCACCCTTCTTCCATATTATGTTTAAAGAGTCATTTTTGTAAGGAACCTGCAACATATATAATATTTGAGAATGTAACAAAGAAAATATAGATTTTTTTCATTATCTTGTATGCAGAATTAACTGAAATATGAGTAGTTATGATTTTATAACAAAAAAGTTACCTTTGGACATTTAGTATTGTTAAATGAATTCAAAAATATCTGGAGGCTATTTTTGATAAATAAATGATAAAGATTTACTCAAGAGTCATCGGGTTTGCATACCAAAAACACAACTAGGCAATACCTATAATGTTCTGAAGAAGAAAGAAAAGCTGAGGGTTCTTATAGTAAAAAATACATTCTTGAAAAGAATCAGTCCTGCCTTCTTAGCCTCTGAATTTGTCTGAGATGGTAATCCTCCAGATGACTGGATAATAGATGTCAGGTGACCTGGATACCTGAACAGCCTTTCCTTAGTCCTTCAGGGGGTAATCAGAGGCTTATCTGGAGGTTTGATGTATATTTAGGCACTGAAGCAGGACTGTAAAGTTAAAAAATTTAAGTTCTAGGCTAGTCAAAATAAGAATAGAATCATTTCCTCATACCTTAATGTACTTGATTTTAGCAATTTAGCAGCTTGACTATAGGAACTCCATTTTTATTTCTTCACTCTATTCCTCAGTATAAAATGGAAAGAGTTAAGTTTTTATATAAAATCACCAATTACTCCTAAATGATCAGTTTAGTGACAGTTTGATGAACATAACTTCTTTTATGGGAAATCTTCATTTTCCTAATGACTTATTTCCCACAGATGGATTTTTTCCCCTTTATATGCTAGATAGTGCTGGAGATGAGTTCCACTAAATATGGAATGAAGTTGTGTCTAGCTTCTTTCACTTAGTTTAATGGTTTTGAGTTTCATTCATGCTGTTGCATATATCAATAGTCTGTTCTTTTTTATTGCTGAATATTATTCTATTGTGTGAATATACCACAATTTTTAAAAATCTATTCACCAATTGGTGGACATTTCAGTTATTTGCAGTTTTTAGTGTTTATTGATAAAGCTTTTATAAGTATTTAGATATAGATATTTGCATGGTTATATGTTTTCATTTCTCTTAAATAGTTCTGGGGTATAAATTAAGTGTATGCTTAACTTCATAAGAAACTGCTAAACTGTTTTCAAAGTGGCATTCTCACCAGCAATATCTGAAAACTCTAGTTGCTCTGAGTTGTTGTCAGTGCTTAATAATGATTGATTATTTGTTTGTTTATATATTTATTTTTAATGTTAGCCTTTCTAATAAGTTCTGATTCCCTCTGATTTCTCCATAATGATATTCTACGCAGCTTTGTGGTCCTGTGAAAGTGTTGTTTTCTCCTGTCAGACTGACAGTTTGGCCAAATGTTTCTATCAAGTCATGAATATTTGCTTATGTGAAATCAGGTTCCCCATCAAGTGGAGCATAGCTAGGAGTCATGTGATTTGACTTGCCTTTTGTCAGCAAGTTGTGTTTGTTAGAACATGATACTAATGAATTTTCAGGATTAATAAAATTAACTGTTTTACTGAAGCAACTTCTCCCATAGTCTCATATAACTGCTTCACACTAGACCCTTCCTAAAAAGAACTCCAAAGAGGAGAGTAAATGTTTCAATAGAAATTTATCTTCAGCGTAGAAAAACTCTAAGTCACATATTCAGCTATTATCTAAACAACTCCCTAGGAAGTGAGGAGAGGAGCGAGACTGAACAACAACAAGCTAAAGGACTTGTACTTGAAATGCCACTTTCACTATTAAACAAAACAAAACAAAACAAGCCATTGCTGTGATGTGTGATAAAAGTTGGTGGGGTCCCATTTCTTTGTGTGGAATTGCTTTTATCTCATGATTGACTTAATTTAATTGCACTAGTTTGTCAGCTGTCATGTTTGGGTTTCTTCAGCTGCAAAATATAGATAATGACAGTATGCAATTTAATAATCACGTGCCAACAATTTGTTTCTTCTAAACAAGATGAGGTAAGAATTGTATTTCCCCCCTATAACTTTGGAATAAGAAGAAAGTTCAAGGCTTTTTTCTTGTCTGTCTTGTATTTTACAGGTGGCTTGTCTAATATCTTGCATTTTCATCCTGACAGTCATTTATGCAATAGGACCTTTGCTTTACTGGCTGCCCATGGTACAGTGGTGCTTTTTCATGATCTACTTTTTAAGTTTAATTTTAATGAGAATCATTGTATATTAAAAATTTCTTAAAAGAGTAACTTCAATGATCCTAATGTGTCACTCAGTAATAATATATGTGTCATTCATGTGGTGTAACTAATAGATGAATGGAGAAGTGGAACAAGACCATATTTGAATGGGGAGGAATGGGCGGGTGCCATGGCTATTTTCTAATTCTTAGGCTCTTGTGTAAAAATACCAAAGTGGGGTTAGATTTATTCTGTTCTCATTTGGACGGTGGAAGTAGGCAATCTTTGTTATAAGAAATAGACTTTGGAAGAATTTTATCAGAGTTTGGGCAGTTAGAAAATGTGTGCTGGGCAAGAGTAGGGAACAAAATATATCTTGCCACCTTTGTCACATCTTTATACAAAGTGACTCAGAACATTAGTATCAATGGTTCACCTTACCTTTCATAAGCCTGAGGCACCAAAGTTATGCAGGTAAGATTCTGGCCTTCAGAGAGCCAGAGACAGTTTCAGTCTTTTCTTGTTCTAATTCTTCATTCATGTAGTGAGATTCAATACTCTCCACTGGAAGATCTTTCAATAAACAAGTTCAGTTTTCATGAGTTGTAGATATCTTCACGTGAAACCATATAATTGATACATAAGGCAATTATAAAGAAATACATGATGTAAATATTCAATATTTGCAACAAATTTCAAACAAATGGCAGTAAATAATTATTATAAAGTTAAGAGGACATACAACATTATAACACTTTGCCCTTATTATTCATTATTTTTTTTCCTTCTTTCTAATTTTTTAGAATTACATAAATTTAACCCTGTGATTTTCTAGAATTTATATTGTATTCCTAAAGCAACAAAGAAGCAAGACAAACAAATAAAGAAACAAAAACTCATAGACAAAGATAACAGTTAAGCGGTTACCAGAGGGTAAGGGGGAGGGAGGGTGGTAGAAGAGGGTAAAGGATGTCAAATATATGGTGATGGGAGGGGAACTGATTCCGGGTGGTGAACACAATGCACTATATAGATGATGTGTTATAGAATTGCACACTTGAAACCTATGTAGTTTTATTGACCATTGTCACTCCAATAAATTTTAATAAAATAAATTATATTCCTAAAGTACAGCAATGGGTTAGTTCTGAGAAAAATAAATATTATTTTAGTCTTCTAAATGGTGATTACTTTTCTCTAGTAGGTAATTCAAAAGCAAAGAAAGAAATAAAAATACCTTTGTTCTTTTAAATTAAATTAAAACCTTTATCTTGCTTCTTCATCAACTTATTTCTTATTTGTAGTGTGTTCTTGCAAGTATTATTGTCGTGGGACTGAAGGGAATGCTAATACAGTTTCGGGATTTAAAAAAATATTGGAATGTGGATAAAATCAATTGGGTAAGTAGAAATTTGACCTAATATTTTCTTCTTTGGTTTAAACATGTTACAAAATAAATTTTAATACTTTTATTTGCAGAAAATAGTTTTAGCCATTTAAGACTTGCACACTTTACAAATTACCATTTAATTTTTCAAAATCTTCATAAAAGAATTAAAATATAAAATGTCTTTATAAGAAGCAGACATCAAATTTTGTCAAGTTTTGATTGATGAATTGAGAACTTTTAAAGAAATGCTAACTAACATGAGTGGATTGGGGTTCCTAATTTCTATTATGAATTGATTTTGGCAGTGAAGCTTTTTATGGAAGTACAGACTAATAGAAATGTGACCATTTATAACATGTATGAAAAACCAGCATTAATTGCTAAGATATGCATGCCACATTAATATACAGTGAACATCTTAATAGTGACCATATTCATTTTAAATACAAAATGTCTCATGAATTATGTTATTAGGTTAATTAAGAGGATAATTATGTTGAAAAGATATGGTCAGCACACATTAAATTATACTGAACAATAATAAAGTGTGGCTTCTAACAGAAACATTTAACATACTTATTGTAGAGAAATGTATCTATGTAAGAACATCCAGAATTATTTCCATCTCCAATATGGGTGAAATATTTCATGAGTACTCTCTGTTCAGCTCTATTATTGCATTTATCATATTGAAATGCATTTATCTATGTCCTTCAAATTTTTTGCTCTCACAGAATTTGGGGAAATCTTTATGCTGGTGCCTGCTTTCATTATACTCCTTGTAAGACTCAATATTACTGAGCTCCTACCAAAGTATAATGTTGGGTGCCATGGGTAATGAAAGATGAATAAAGAACTACTGGCCCTTTCTAGATATTTATGTTTGTACAGGAAGCAGACACAAAAACACTAGCTTAATATGCAAGGCATACTACAACATGACCTAGAAGCAAAAGTACAAATTTAATACTGAGGAAAAATAAGGGCTGAGGCATTTAATTTGGATTGGGTTAGTATGAAAGACTCTCACAGCAGAACTGAAATATAAACTGAATCTTCAAGGAACAGTACTTCGTAAGCAGGCCAAGAGGCCATAATTAACCAGGCTAATGGAGAATGGTGATGTTTAAAAGGTGATATATCTGAGCTATCACATGGAAAAAGGTGCAAACTTAATTAACAAGGTATTTGATAATCCTATGATAAAGATATTTCTAAGAAACTCAATCACTTAAGAGGGAGCATATACATATTTGAAGTAGAGAGATGTTATAAGAGATTTCTTACAGGAAATTATGGGTAGAGCATACAGAGTTAGGGTGAGAGTAGGAAGAGAGAGGGTTGGAAAAGTTAAGAATGGTTTGGACTGGAAAAGGCTATTCATGTCCTACAAAAAAGAATAAATTTCATTTTGAAGGCAGTGAGACATCACTGAAACGGGAAATAAGGATAAGATTTATGTGTTAGGAAGGTAACAAGTAAATTGAAGAGGATGGATCAAACTGATGAAGTATGGAAGGAGCAATTGGATCACTGCTTTAGAAATTCAGGCAAACAAATGAGGAAGGCTTGAACCAAAACTGAGTCTATGAGGTCCAAGAGAAGGGAACAGATTTAAGAAATATACTAAAAAACATTACATTAGTTATTCCTCACCACAAATTCATCATAAAAAGTGCAGCAGTCTAAATGACTTCTAAGTTTTCAGTTAGGAATATCACTAAAGAAAGATGATGTCATTCATTGAGTTATAGAACATAGAATATTGTTTAAATGCATTTAGTGGTTACCTTGAGTCTTTTTTTATACAGGTTCTCATTCCTGAGTTATTTATTTCCATTCATCTATTTGTTTTCTGTATGTCATCACCAAGTAGTTTTCCAAGAAAACTCATGTGGTTTATATTTCCTGAGCTATTGTAAGGCGAAAATATTTACCTGTTTTCCTTTTATACTTGGCATTATCTTCAGTCTTTGAAAGTTAAGGCAGAGAAATCACATGTTGACATGATATTTTTATTATTTTATATTGTTTTTCTAAAGGGATGCTCAATGAGGTTCTTTCTTGCCCATGAAGTTTGGTAATATTATCAGAATATTTTTTTGGTTGAATATCCAGTATCAAATTTCTGTGAAAGTGACATATCCTTTCGACCTCAGAATCAAGAGTTATATACAAAATTGCTTCTAATATATCTTTGAATATTTTTTAAATCTATATGAAGTTCTGACAAATAAGTTCGAGACCTCATCCTAGAAAAAGTGCTACATACCTCATTGCTGAATATCACTATGATCACCTTCGAAGTACTCCCCTTGGAAAGCTGTGCACTGATGCCAGCACCTAGTCCATCCTTCAGGGCAAAAATGACCTGAACTTTTCACCAACATTTCATGCCTCTTGCATCACAACAATGCACCACATCACATGGCATGGTCTGTGAGGGAGTTTTTAACCAGCAAATAAATAACTGTATTGGAACACCCTTTCTACTCACCTGACCTGACCTTTTTCTTTCTTTTTCTTCTTCTTTTTAAATTGGGGAATTGGGGGAGGGAAACAGTGTTGGGGAATTGGAGAAGAGGACCAGCCAAGTTGTTGTTCTTAAATCTTAGTTGTGGATGGCACAGGTTGCCATCTGGCTGCCCATCAGTAGCTTTTGGCCTATAAGCTCAAGGTGCTGTGTTCAATCTTGGTTGTGGGTAGGTGGGCATAGCCTCCATCCCATGTGGGAGTCAAACCAGCAGACTTGTTGTTAAGAGTGCACACTCTATCCACTGAGTCATCCAGGTTGCAGCTCAGCTCAAGATGCCAAGTTCAGTCTTAGTTGTGGGTGGGCATAGCCACCAACTCATGCGGGAGTGAAACCGGAAGCTTTGTTGTTAAGAGCACATGCTCTGTCCACTGAGCCATTCGGGTGGCAGCTCAGCTCAAGATGTCGAGTTCAGTCGTAGTTGCGGGCAGGCATAGCCCATCACTGAACAGGCAGTCTTATTGTTAAAAGCATGTGCTCTCACCAGCTGAGCCATCCTGCCACCCTTTGGCAGCTCAGTGGCAGCTCAGTGGCAGTTCAGCTCAGCCACAGCATCACTGGCCCATGTGGGAATAGAACTGGTGTCCCTGTTGCTCAGAGCTCACGCTCTTAGCCAATGATTAACCAACTAAGCCACTCTGCCGGTCCCAATGATTTCTTTATTTACCCAAAGACAAAGGAAATATTTAAAAAATATATATTTTGATGACATTCAGGACATCAAGGACAATATGATGACAGCTTTGATGGCCATTCCAGAAAAAGAGTTCCAAAATTGCTTTGAAAGGTAGACTAGGTGCTGACATCAATGTATAGCTTCCCAAGGGGAGTACTTTAAAGGTGACTGTAGTGATATTCAGCAATGAGTTATGGAGCACTTTTTCTAGGATGAGTTCGTGAAGTTCATTATCATACCTCATATTTTGTACAATACTTAGGGGTTGTGACCATGATCTTGTTTCACTGAAGCTGGATTTTCCTCCCTATATATTCATTTTTATTTTATTATTAGTTTCAGGTGTATAAAACAACATAGTGATTATGCATTTATATACCTCACAAAGTGATAACCCTAATAAGTCTATTACCCATCTGACACTGTACATAGTTATTACAATATTATTGACTATATTCCCTATGCTGTACTTTATATCCCATCATATGCTCTTCATCACTTTGAATATTTCCTGTCAGTCCCTTCTGTCCTGAAAAATTTCTGTTGAGGAATCAGCTGATAGTATTATGGGAGCTCCCTTGTAGGTTACTGGTTGTCTTTCTGTTGGTGCTTTTAGGATTTTCTCTTTGTTTTCAACATTTACCATTTTAATTATAATGTGTCTTGGTGTGGGCCTGGATGGGTTCATCTTGTTTGGGCCTCTTTGTACTTCTTGTGCTTGTATGTCTATTTCCTTCAACGGGTTAGGGAATTTTTCAGTCATTATTTCTCTAATAGGTTCTGGATCTTTTTCTTCCTTTCTTCTCCTTCTCATACTCTTATGATGTGAAAGTTGTTATGCTTGTTGTTTTCCCAAGGGTTTTCTTAGACCATCTTTGTTTTTTTTTATTCATTTTTCTTTTTGTTATTCCAATTAGGTGTTTTCTGCTACCTTGTCCTCTAAATCACTGATTCAATCATATGCTTCATCTAATCTGCTGTTGATTCCTTCTAGTGTATTCTTCATTTCAGTTATTGTATTCTTTATTTCTGACTGGTTCTTTTTTTTATGGTTTCTATTTCCTTCTTTATGCTTACTATATCTTTGTTAAAGTTCTCACTAAGTTCTTTAAGCATTTTTATGACCAGTGGTTTAAACTCTGTCTTTGGTAGGTTGGTTTCCTTCATTTCATTTAGGTTTTTTTTCTGGTGTTTTCTCCTGTTCTTTTATTTGGGTCATGTTCCTTTGTTTTCTCATTCTGGCTGCTTCCCTGCCTTTGCTTCTATGTATTAGGTAGATCTTCTATGTTTCTCAGTCTTTGCCAGGTGGCCTTATGTAATATGTGTCCTGTTTGGTTCAGTGGCACAGTTTTCTGATCAGCTGTACCTGTGTTCCAGGAGTGTCCCTTGTGTGTATTCTCCTGTTTCATGTGAGCCTTGATTGCTTTTGTTGTGGGTGGGATTGACTTTGAGGCTGACTGGCTACACCCGAAGTGTATGGGATGTTGTGTGGTGGCTAACCCCTTAGTGGGGAATTCACCTCAGCAGGCTCTTGTGCCTGTTGAGAACACCCTTTGGGTGTTCTGCTTGTGGAACTAATTGGGCAATACTCTGGTGTGGTCTGAAACTAGCCTCTAGATATGTTACTGCTAGTGTCTCTTTGGAGGGGCTCCCATTTAAGCCAATTTCAGCCTTGCCTGTGACAGGCCTGCAGCTACTTGGTAGAAAATACAAAGATAAATGCTGTTGGTTGCTGCTTTTGGTGAACCTGGAGGCATGTAGAAGTGGCCTTGCTGTGAACCAAGGCTGGTGGCCATCAGTATTGGGCCTGGGGAAGCTTAGCAAAAATCCCAGGCCCTCCCAGGCCTGTTGCCACCTGCCAGCTGCCCGTAAAGGTTAGCCACTGAAAGAGCTTCCTTAGGTGCATGGTTTGGCCTCGTTGACCAGGTGTTGAGAGTGACCCCAGTTATGCAGCACTAGATGGGAAGGTCCCAGAAAAACACACAGTGTGGGTGGTAGTTTTTACAAAGTTAATGTAGATTAAGGTCTTACACCAGTGCCAAGCCTGTAATCATCCCTCAAAATGCCCTGAGAACACCGCAGCCAGCCATTGCTCACCTCAGGACTGCAGATCCCCAAGGGCCATCCAAGAGAGACTACAGCTCCAACTGTGGCTGACTGCCCACCACTGAATGTTCCTCAGACTGCCATGGGCATTTGCTGCTGTGAAAGTCTTTCAAAGCTTGTGGGGCAGGGGTGGCAGCCCAAAAGCTGAGAGTGCCTCTGGTGATGCAGCACTAGCTGGGTGTAGCACGGACCCAAGGAGTCACCAGGGTGGTGCTCATGTGCGGTTTATGTCAGACCAATGCAGTCTTAGATTTGGCCCTTTTGGGGAGGGTTCAACACAGAAAAGATGGAGCCCTCCTGTAGGCTACAATTGAGGTGGTCTCCACATAGGGCCAATAGCGGCTGTTCCTCCTGAAACCTTACAACTCAATCTTTCCCTGTATTTCTTTGGCATCTCTTGAGTTGCTGCCCCTCTACTAGAGCACAGGTAAGTGTTTGCAAGCGAGTCTGTATGTGGGCTTTTTAAGAGGATGCCTGGGTTTTTAGCTGCCTTTCGTCTCACTGGGAAAGATGGACAGAGTTCACTCATTGATTTCTCCTGCCTGACATGGGGACTCCTTTTTCTGACACAGGACCTCTGGGCTGGGGAGCCTGGTGTGGGGTTGAGACCCATCCTTCTTAAGGGGGGGCCTCCACCACTGAGGTGTCTCTCCTGGTGCTCAAACACAACCTGTGAGTTTGGGATAAGTGTGTTTTACATCTATGCTTCTTTGATTAGTCTCAATGTGGCCTCTTCTTTTTATCCTTAGTTATAGGGGTCCTGTTCAGCTAGTGTTCACATGACTCTTGAGGTTGATTGTTCAATAATTTAGTTGTAATTTTATGTGATCCTGGAAAGCAGCAGGCATAGCATTTACTTATTCCATTATCTTGGACTTTAAACCCCTATATATTCATTTTTAAAAAATAATTTTTGGTAGATTTTTTAACAGAGGGGAGTGGAGTAACAATACATTTACTATACTGTCTAAATTTGATCTTTAAACCTATACCTTAGAAAGGTGATTCTGACGATAGTATGGAAAATGGTTTACAATGTTGATATCAAAAGCTGGTAGTTAAGTAGGAGGCTCTCAGAATAATCTAAGGGAGCAACAGTGAAGTGTGAACTAGAATACTATCAGTGAATTGAGAAAAGTTGTGGTTTGAGAATTTTTCCTTAATAATTGACAGAACTTGGTAAATGATTGGACAAGTAGATGAAAAAGTGGAAATAGCAACATAAGATTTCCGGGTTTCTGATTGTAGTGTCTTAAAGAATATTAGTGTTTTAACTAAAAGAGAACATTGGAGGAAGGACAGATTTGGGGCTGATATTAATGAGTTTGCATTTGGACATACTAAATTTGATGATATTTGGTAGACAGTTTGAAAAGTGGTTTAATTGCTCAGAATTAATAGTCTCCTACATGCAGGTGGTAGTGAAAAGTTGGGAGTAAATAGGCAGTATGGTGTGGGCAAAAAGTAAGGTTGAGGAAGGTGCCATGTATATAGCAGATGCATTAGGATTAAATGTGACATTGGGTTTAGTTTGACAATGACCTCTTACGATTGAAGTGGACAGGTATGCCTCTTCATTGTTAAGGAACTGATTTGAGCATAGCATTTATAGTGAGACTATTGCACTTCTGGATATTATTGACTTCTCTGGATAAAAGCTATATTACCCAGTAGACAGAATATGTCCAGATTACTCAATAAATAGAATAAACCTAAAATATGTAAATAAAATTACCAAAGGTGTGTGTTTGTGTGTGTGTGTGTATAAATTTGCAAGTTGAAAGTTTAAAAAGTTATGTAAGCAGTTATCACATGAGAAATCAGAAATTTTTATTTTAAAAAAATTTTTACAGTTTAATAATGATTCTACTTTGAGTTGTAGATCAAAACCCTCTTTGGAAATAAAGATCCAATATAGAAGTCTGACTCATTGACTCAGACTGAATTTGAGTAATTGAACAGTGGGGATAGAAGTCATATCTACAGAAATTTAATAATATGGATCAATCACCAAAATGGATAGGCTAACAGATGAATCAGGGAAAGGGGAAGTGATTGAGCACCTGCTAAATTGTGCTTTACACTGATATGTTTAATGTAAGGAGCAAGGGCTTATGTGTTCCCTACTTGAGGTCAACTTTGGGGTTAGCTTGTGTTTAGGAACTGTGAGTACAAAATAGGGAAGGTATCAAGTAGAAACACATAATGAAAAAAAATAGGGAACAAGAAGCTAACTAATTCCTTATAACTGTGACAACCAGCATTTGGATTTCTAGTGGAAATTGTTAGAAAATAGTTTTGGGACTTCTAACCAAATTTCTGGTCTGTGTTATTAATTTCCATTTGATATTTTTTTCAAAGCTATAAATGTAGCCCTGGGAAATAAGCATGGCTTACAATAAATGATATTGTGGGAGAGTAAATATGCTTTAAAAATAGAACCAGGTGATATCAAAAGTTTTAGTAGCTCTGAAGAATCATGGCCTCCAGGCTCTGTGGTTTTTAGAATGGCAGGGACCAGGATCCTCAGTTTTCTACACAATATTAAATTATGCTGGTTGACCAGGTGAAATTGGACTTAGAAAGATTTTGGAGAGGTCTTATTCTGCCACTCCCAGGCAGGTTAAGTCAGCATTAGGGGATGAAGGAGTACAGAGCAACCATGGTAAGTTGAAGTAATGATCAAATACTTGCAATCTTGGACCAGCTGAGTGGCTCAATTGGTTAGAGCACGAGCTCTGAACAACAGGGTTGCCGGTTCAATTCCCACATGGGCCAGTAAGCTGCACCTGAGCTGAGCTTCCATTGAGTTGGTGAGAGAACGTGCTCTTAACAACAAGGTTGCTGGTTTGACTCCTGCATTTGATGGTGGGCTGCACCCTCCCCCCACTCCGCAACTAGATTGAAAGTGGTGACTGGACTTGGAGCTGGGCTTGCGCCCATCACAACTAAGATTGAATGACAACAACTTGACTTGGAGCTGATGGGTCCTCAAAAAACACAATGTTCCCCTTCCACAATTCCCCAGCACCTTTCCTCTCCCCAAATCCCCTATAAAATCTTTTTTAAAAATTGCAATCTTATCTTGTATATAATGAAGTATATTGTAATACATTAGGAAAGAAAAAACATACTGTATACAAATAGATTAAAATGACTGTCTATCACTTGAATAGAGGAAAAACATGACAAGCTAAGGATGATGTAATAATGAGTACTAACAGCATTATATTTGCAGGTGATGGATCTTAACATGCGAACACTTAAACTATATTTTCTCTTTTATTCTGGAATGTTTGTTACTTTTATATCAAAAAGGAATTTTATGATAAAATCCCTCCATTTGCTTCCAAGGGCTTAGCTTTTGAAAATAGCCCATCATTAAGAACCACTCAAGCTCAGAGTAGATAAATAATATAAAGGAAAAGCATTTTAAGTAAAAAATGCCCTTTGGAAACATTTGTTTCAAACTTATGTGAAAAAAAACTATTCCCAAGAACTATTCCCAAGAGCTAAGTTGGTTCTGATTTTTTAACTTTCATAATTTTACTAGACGTGGCCTCTTGTAAAAAAAAATCATCATCATCTTTGTAGTAGCTGATCTAAAAGTGGCTTTGGTGATGTTAGATTCAATCATTTTAACATTAGGCTCATGTCTTATGTAGTAATAAACTACATTAGTTTTTTTAATAGAAATTTTGGAAAACATAATATTATTGGAAATGACCAAAAATCTGCAAACAATTGCTTATAATATTATTACATTAAATGAGAAAATTCTGGAAAATTATGATGTACTTTTGAACCATAAACATCAACCAACTATTTACAGATCTTAAAGTGTTTATTGGGGATTGAACTAAGGGTTGACAGTATCTAGAAATAAAAGAATGTGCCTTTTTCCTACCTCTACTGCTGAGAGTTTGATTTGTTTCTGTGTTACTGGTCTTCTGTTTATCAATTCTTAAATAATATATTCTCACTGAAGATTTGGTCACAGGAATGTTGTAGAATAAAATTTTGAAGAATTTAGCAATCATGAGAAAGAAGAGAATACCAAAAGACCCACATTTTCTGTGTTTTTCTTTGCTTGTTTGTTTCTCTTTCAGGGCATATGGGTCAGTACATATGTATTTACAATATGTTTTGCTGCCAATGTGGGACTGCTGTTTGGTGTTCTCTGTACCATAGCTATTGTGATTGGTCGCTTCCAAAGGTAAGATCTTATTTAAATACTTTGTTTATACTGACACAGCAGCAAAGAATATGGTGTTGCAAGTTACTTTTACTTCTGTGGAATATATAGTACTACAATCTTACGTTTTATTTGGTATTAGAGAATTGAAGATAAAAAAGGTTTTATCTACATATGATATAAAAAATGTTGGTCTTAATGAAGAGAAATATTTTGTCAGCATTATAAAATACAATATATAAAATCTATTAAAGTAAATAAATTAACCTCATTGCCATACACTGCATCACAGAGCTATTTTTCATTAAGTGAAGAGATACAGCATCCAATGAGATACAAACCATATAACAATGTAATCATTTGGAAAATTAAACAACTTGAGCAAATTTAGTTTTTCAAAAGTCATATTAGTCTATCAATGTACTTTTTCTAAATAATCTGTTTTTATCTCTTTACTGAACATCTGTGAATCATTCCCCTATTTTGACCAATTCTTATTCTGTTTTCCCAGTGTTCATCATCTGATAATAGTTTTACTTACTTCTCATCCTTTCATTGAAAGTCTTTGTTAAATAATATATTCTTTTAAGAATTTTCAATTTTACTTCTATAGAGTCTACCTTTATAGAATCTAACTATGTAGATTCATCATTATCTGGTCCTATCTTGCCATTGATTCCCTCTTTACTTCCTTCCCCCAAAACAATATTTTCTCAAATACTGTATATTTTATAACCTTCTCTCTTATAACTTTTCTTTGTAAATTCACCTCTTGTAGCTTGGATATATGGTAGCTAGAAGCCCAGATGAGGTAAATTACTTTTTTTTTCTTTTTAAAAAATTTATTTCTAGGATGCTTTAAAATTACCAAAGTAATACATACTTTTGTAGCATAATTTAACATTACCTGAGTGTATAAGGTAAGAAGCACAAATGTCTGGTCATAGCCGTTGTGCCTTCTACTCCCCACACCCCCAACTATTAACAATTTGGTATGTAGCCTTCTAGACTTTGTACTGTGTTTATGCAAACTTTACACACACACACACACACACACACACACTCACATACACATACACACATGCTATACATAGTCTTTTGGTTTGTTTTACAAAAATGGGATCATACTATAGATATTTCTTGCAACTTAATTAAAAAAATACTATTGGCTGATTTTTTTGAATGTTGACTATGTTCTGTGCACAACTTTTTTTATTAAATTATTTTTTATTATGAAATACACATTTTTTAGAATTAGTTTCAGCTGTACAACACAGTGCAATAGTTATACTTTTTACCCCTCGAAGTGAAAACACCCTTCCCACAATCCACTGCCCCATTTCCCCCAATATCATACATATCTATTACAAATCCCTTGACTCCACTCCCACACTATACTCCACGTCCCATGAC